TAATAAGATACAATATTTATTATAGTATATATATATATATATATATATGTGTGTGTGTGTGTGTGTATGTGTGTGTGTGTGTGTTATAACATTGTATATTTTTATATGTATACATATACTTATATATGTGATATATTATATATATGTATATACAATGTGTGTGAGAACGAGTGCATGCGCGTGTGAGTTTTGGTGAGTGCGTTGCGTGCTAGGTCTAAATAAATGTGTATGTATACAAAAACATAGTACGCAAATATAAGTTGCTAACAGAACGCAAGTTGAACCCCTACTGAGTATGCATCCCAACCGTAGACTAGAGCATAGCTGGGCTGAGTGGTTGCATAAGTTATAGTGCTGTATGTGTGGCCCTGGGGACCTTATGCAACGAATAAGCTTGCACACCACCATGACTGGCATGTGAGTTCCAATGTCGCATGCTACACACACTTACTACAAACATTGTGACACCATACACGTCGTATCTCAGCTATAGGCTGACGTAATATGCAATCATATTGACAAGCAGTTGGTGTACATTGATGTGGTACATAGCATCCACTGATACGCAGCAAGGATGCATTGATGTAGGATGCCGAGCTTGATCACGTATGGATGTATGTTTAATATGATCACATATGGATGTATTTTTTTATCACGTATGGATGTAGTTTTTATCACGTATGGATGTTTGTTTAGTATGATCACACTTGGATATGTGTTAGTATGACCACGTGTAGATTTATGTATAGTATGATCACATATGGATGTGTGTTAGTATGATCCGTATGGATGTATGTTTAGTATGATCACATATGGATGTGTGTTAGTATGATCCGTATGGATGTATGTTTAGTATGATCACATATGGATGTGTGTTAGTATGATCACGTATGGATGCATGTTCAGTATGATCCCATATGGATGTGTATTAGTATGATCACATATGGATGTATTCTTCATCACTTATGGATATGTGTTAGTATGATCACGTATGGATGTATGTTTAGTATGGTCACATATGGATGTGTGTTCGAATGATCACATATGGATGTGTGCTAGTATGATCAGATATGGATGTATTCTGTATCACGTATGAATGTGTGTTAGTATGACCACGTATGAATGTATGTTTAGTACGATCACATATGGATGTGTATTAGTTTGATCACACATGGATATGTGTTAGTATGATAACGTGTAGATGCATGTATAGTATGATCCCATATGGATGTGTGTTAGTATGATCCGTATGGATGTATGTTTAGTACGATCACATATGGATGTGTGTTAGTATGATCACATAAGGATGTATGTTAGTATGATCACGTATGAATGTATGTTTAGTATGATCACATATGGATGTGTGTTAGTATGATCACGTATGGATACATGTTTAGTATAATCCCATATGAATGTGTATTAGTATGATCACATATCGATGTATTCTTCACCACGTATGGATATGTGATAGTATGATCACATATGGATGTATGTTTAGTATGGTCACATATGGATGTGTGTTCGTATGATCACATATGGATGTGTGCTAGTATGATCAGATATGGATGTATTCTGTATCATGTATGGATGTGTGTTAGTATGATCACGTATGGATGTGTGTATAGTATGATCACATATGGATGTTAGTATGATCACATATGGATGTGTGTTAATATGATCACGTAGGGATGTATGTCTAGTATGATCACATATGAATGTGTGTTAGTATGATCACATATGGGTGTATTCTTTATCACGTATGGATGTGTGTTAGTATGATCACATATGGATGTGTGTTAGTATGATCACATATGGATGTGTGTTAGTATGATTACATAAGGATGTGTATTAGTATAATCACGTATGAATGTATGTTTAGTATGACCACTATGGATGTGTGTTTAGTATGATCACATATGGATGCATGTTTAGTACGATCATGTATGGATGTATGTTCAATATGATCACATATGGGAGTATAAAATTTATTGACTGTGTGCGATTGTTGTTTTACGGCTTTATTGATATTATCATTCTAACTCGGACTTTGTGCGTTTTTTTAACGCTTTTGTTGCGATTCTTTGCGAATTTATTTTTACATTCGTACATACATGCATGCATTTATACATAGATACATATATACACAGATTAATGGACACATAAATACAAACTTACATACAAATATACATTCATCACCAATTGTTTATATAGATATATATATAAATATATATGTATATATATATATACATATATGTATATATATATATATAGATAATAAACATGTAC